CGTGGCTGCAGGGGCCTTGGCGTGAGGCAAATCCTTGAAGAACTCGTCGTCGTCGTCAACCGAGTGTCGGAGGTGGCGGTGTTGGTGGTGGTGGCTGCTGTGGTGACGGGGCAGCAGGAAGAAGCTGCGCTCCAGGGCGTCCAGGTCCATCAAGGATTGCTCCAGGCTGGCCATGGGGTGCCAGTACGAGGGCTGGACAAGGTCCCAGTGGGAAGTCGGCACGCGGTAGTAGTAGCGGAACATGGAAAATTGGAAAATGACATCCCTCATGCATGAGGGCGACATCCGGTCGCTCGACCAAGTTGCAAAGATATGCGGATGTCTTTCGCCACGGCCAGCGCTCCCCCGTCCTTCTCAACGCCCGGGGTCTCCACCTTGTCGTAGCCGGCCTCGACCTCCAACGCAAAGTTGTGTTCGTGCAGCCCAAACACGACGCGCTCCAGGATGTAAAAGCCTGGCGTGATGATCACGGCGAACGCGATCGTCACGTGCAGCTGCATGGCCAGCATGGCGAGGACCACCCCGCCGCGGTTGGCAGTGAAGCCGTTCTTGGTCCCCGCCACAGCGAACAACGAGTTGCCGGGGATCTGGCACCCGACAGCAGACACACCCGTGATGGCCACCACCATGAACAAGATCGAGACGATGGCCAACGTCACGTAGATGATACGGGGCATGCGGCACGGGTCCGAGTGATCGCGCTGGACTTCTTCCTCGTCCTCGCCTTAGAGGTTATATTCTACGCAACAGCACTTGTCTGCAAAGCGACTGTCTCGTTTGTGCATTGTCGTGTGACTGGTCCAAGAGATTATTGTAGTGAAGACAATCACAACAGCAATGGGTCGGAAAACCCCGGACAGCAAAACGAGGACAACTACGCATCCATGCGACATGAGCCCACAATCGTGTGTCAGCCCCACGTTGCCATAGGGCGCCTGCAGTAACACATATGAGTTCCATATTCAACCAAATCCATGGAGTTGAGCTGCTTCCCCTCCCCTCCCACCCAGCGGTTAAAATGATCGTCATTTTGGACCTGGCTTCACCCCTGCAAGATGAGCAAGCTGTTCTTGACCACCGAAGACATGAAGATGTGCTTCTCCCTCTTCTGCTGCGTGTACGGCATCGGGACGCTCGGCATGCCTGGCAACTACGCCCGCGCCGGCTAGTTTGCCAGGCATGCCGAGCGTCCCGATGCCGTACACGCACCAGAGGAGGGAGAAGCACATCTTCATGTCTTCGGTGGTCAAGAACAGCTTGCTCATCTTGCAGGGGTGAAGCCAGGTCCAAAATGACGATCATTTTAACCGCTGGGTGGGAGGGGAGGGGAAGCAGCTCAACTCCATGGATTTGGTTGAATATGGAACTCATATGTGTTACTGCAGGCGCCCTATGGCAACGTGGGGCTGACACACGATTGTGGGCTCATGTCGCATGGATGCGTAGTTGTCCTCGTTTTGCTGTCCGGGGTTTTCCGACCCATTGCTGTTGTGATTGTCTTCACTACAATAATCTCTTGGACCAGTCACACGACAATGCACAAACGAGACAGTCGCTTTGCAGACAAGTGCTGTTGCGTAGAATATAACCTCTAAGGCGAGGACGAGGAAGAAGTCCAGCGCGATCACTCGGACCCGTGCCGCATGCCCCGTATCATCTACGTGACGTTGGCCATCGTCTCGATCTTGTTCATGGTGGTGGCCATCACGGGTGTGTCTGCTGTCGGGTGCCAGATCCCCGGCAACTCGTTGTTCGCTGTGGCGGGGACCAAGAACGGCTTCACTGCCAACCGCGGCGGGGTGGTCCTCGCCATGCTGGCCATGCAGCTGCACGTGACGATCGCGTTCGCCGTGATCATCACGCCAGGCTTTTACATCCTGGAGCGCGTCGTGTTTGGGCTGCACGAACACAACTTTGCGTTGGAGGTCGAGGCCGGCTACGACAAGGTGGAGACCCCGGGCGTTGAGAAGGACGGGGGAGCGCTGGCCGTGGCGAAAGACATCCGCATATCTTTGCAACTTGGTCGAGCGACCGGATGTCGCCCTCATGCATGAGGGATGTCATTTTCCAATTTTCCATGTTCCGCTACTACTACCGCGTGCCGACTTCCCACTGGGACCTTGTCCAGCCCTCGTACTGGCACCCCATGGCCAGCCTGGAGCAATCCTTGATGGACCTGGACGCCCTGGAGCGCAGCTTCTTCCTGCTGCCCCGTCACCACAGCAGCCACCACCACCAACACCGCCACCTCCGACACTCGGTTGACGACGACGACGAGTTCTTCAAGGATTTGCCTCACGCCAAGGCCCCTGCAGCCACG